GGAAGGCAGTGTGCTTTATTCAAAGTTTATTGATTTAAATATTAATCTCATTCAAAAATGTTCCATGGGAACATCCACAACAATGTTTGAACAAGTATCTGTGCACCATGGCCCGGCCAAGCTGACACATGAAATTCTCTATAACTTAAGTTTGTGTTACTTGCAGCCAAAAGCACTTTTGGTAAAAAGTGCTTTTAGAAATCTCTGAAAGTGTTAGGTGAGAGTTCATGGACAGAGAGGTAGAGACAGGGTAATAGAAAGAAGCCGCTGGAAGACAAGACAAAGAGACAAGTTCTGTCTCTGTTTACAATAAGTTTCATTATCGTGACAACTCCTGCTACTGAGGACTTATCACCATGACAACTCCTGCCACAGGTTTGGTATTTTAGAATGACCAATGGGGGTAAAGTGGGCAGTATTCTAATTAGGTTTCTTAAAGTAATCAGTGGGGGAAAATTGGGTAAGGTCTTCAATCAGGTCCGTTTAGGGAAGAGAATGCCTCACAACTCAGCATGTAAAACAAGAATTTCCAGACATCAGGGCTTGAGCTTCTCTCTCTCTCTCTCTATCTTTACCTCCATCTTTTTCTCACTGGGCCCACTCTGCTCTACCTCACCTTCAATCAATCTGTATTTTATCTGTTACTTCAGTGTGTCTTGCTCAATTCTTTGTTCAGTTCACCAAGGACCTAGATCCCAACTGGACATGCTCACAGTAACAAAAGTACCCAGATGTTCCAAACATTGATCATCCTAATCCTTCTCAGTCACAACCACATAAAGCATTTCCCTGCTGTGTCTTCATGCCTCATCCCACATTCTCAGCCTAGATCTATGCCTCTGAAAATCCTACCTCTGCTCTGTATATCAAAGTCCCCAGGAAACCCTCATAAAGGTTTATAAAGTTTTGATAGGATATTTTTACCTCATTTTCATTCAAATGTTTGCCGTGGTTGGATGTATAGTATGTAGCCACTAGCAATAGGTGGCATTGGGCTAATTTGAATTGAGAATGTGCTGTAAATTTAAAATACATAGAGAATTTTTAAACCTTTATGCCAGAAAAAGGAATGTAAAATATCTTTTTTTTACACTGCTTTCATGTTGAAATAATTTTGGATACTTTGGATCAAATGAAATTATTTATGCATATCATAATTGATCTTACTTGATTCTTTTTATTTTTTCCAGTGTGGCTACTAGACCATTCAAAATTACATATGTGAATTATGTTTGTAGATCACATTATTTCTAGTGGACTGGACTAGTACAAATGTAGAATTTTTAGAAAAATTCACTTTTCGTAATTAACTTATTAATATATGTACAGTTTATTAGCTGTTTAATTTTTTTCAAAATTATGATTTGATTTATTTGTTTTTTAAAGAATTAGCTAGAGCACTGTTAGGAGTTCAGGGGAAAAAATTAAAATGAAAAATCATATGTGCAATGAAAGGGTTATAAGAGAATCAGCATTTACTTTTTGTCCAAAAAGTTTAGCAATTTTCCCAGCTCACAGAATTGTGGGAACTCAGCTTTTCCAGGGAATAAATATGCTATTTTTAACATTTTTATTATACAATTTGTCACAAGCTGTCTCATGAGAGTATCAACAATCAGTTTCAAACAGAATCCTACCACAAACACTTCCCCCAATGTGACTCGGAACATCTGGCGGGCTGGAGTCGTCCTCCACGTGGGGCGGTGCCCGCAGCCTGACTTTGATTCCTGTGCTCCTAACAGGCTTGTCATACCCCGGACAGTGGGAGAGAGTGCGGTGAAAACTGTCCTGGGGAGGCCGGCCTCAGGCAGGACTGTGTCCAGCTTACATCCCATTTCTGCTGGAGGCGTGTGCTGCATTCCCTGGGTCTCACTGACTGATGATTTATGTGGCACGTGCCCAATTACAGGTTGAAAAGAAAGCTTTGGTCTCCAGGAAAATCAGCCAGCACCTCCCAGCTGAACAGATCATAGTACCTGCCCCGAGCACCAAGCACAGAGTGGCAAGTTTGCATTCTTCAGAGCACAGGACCATCACCTGATGAGGGAAAGCCCACGGGCTTTCCCAGCCAGGGGCACCAAAGCAATGAGACGCTGAACCAGGGTGATCCAGTGGGATGTGAGAATCACCTGAAGGGCCCAGGAGGGTCTCCTCCCCTTTCAGCAGTTTCAGTCTTTCTGAAAAGTTGGAAATTGAGTATTAAAGATCCACTGTTGTTGGCTACCTACGCAATCTTCACGGGAAATTCTTTCCTAAAGTGAAGAGATCTTGAGTGGAACAAAAACTATTCCTAAACTATATTAAGTCAGAGTCTCAAGGGCTGGGGTTGTAGCTCAGCGGCAGAGCACTTGCCTAGCATGTGGGAGGCACTGGATTCGATCCTCAGCACCACATAAAAATAAATAAATAAAATAAAGGCATTGTGTCCACCTACAACTATAACACAAAAATATATATTTTAAGAAAGAATTTCAAAAACAGTTTTCTTTAAATGAGGGACACACATAGAAAGGTCCAGTTCATAAATGAAGTGGAATCTTCAGAATAGCACTGTTTTCAAGGTAGTAAGTGCTGTTTGACATTGGCATACCCATATTTAGTAAGTAGACACTGTGCTAATTTACACAGGCGTACTGTATGCACACCCCAGGATTCTTAGCAAAGATAACAAGACTCAAAAGAAAGCGTTTGCCTCAGCAGGAAACAAATTTTGTCTTTAAAAGGTTCTTTATCAAAATATTTGAAAATATTTAAGCAGAATTGATATGAATAAAAAATTTAAGGTTAAATGTCTTTGATTGAACATATGCTATTCTTCATTATATTAAAAATTAATGTGTTTGACAAGCATTAGTGTTGCTTTTCGACATACTCGTTGTACAAAAAGAAATGAGAAAGAAGATAGTGAAAGTTTCAATGCAAGTCTAATTTAGAGTCATTGCCTCTATAATGTTAATTTCAGTCTTTTAACAACAATGACAATATGACATGTAGCATATGTGCATATTTTGTACATAAGGAACAATTTTGATTTCCAGGCTTTCTGAGGGAGTATTATACACTTTTATGCTGTTATGACATAGTTTTCATAATATTCCTTTCTGTGACTATTTGATGGATGAATGAATAAATGAATGAATATACAAGTGATAAAAGAGAGAACATAAAAGGAATTCTGCACAAGCAATAGAGTAGTTTTATGGGGAGGAAGTTCTCACAATATGCTTTTTTAGTGCCTAGTGAGAATCCACGTTACTTGTGGAAAAGGTTGCCTACTTTTTCTAGTTGGTAAATAATCTCCCCCACCACTTGGGGGCAAGAGATGTTTGGTGAAGCCTGTGTAAGGCAGACAACACTGATATGTTGCAGAGTCATGATCAAGTTTGACCCTCCTGAAAATGATGTTGTTGGGCAACTGAGTAGATAAAATATTTATATTTTAAAAAAAATAATAATTAACACTCTGCAATGCATTAGGTTTTACCTGTGCTGAAATCCTCTCTAAGCACACAGACTGTATTTCAAGAGGTAATTTAGTTCATTGTTAGAGACTATGAACATCTTTTCCCATGAAACTTGTTCTAAAGGATGGGTGGGTTTCTACACTCATTCCCAAAGCCTATTCATGTTATACTATGGCTGACATGCCTCATGTTAGCAATGACAAGTAGTTGGAAAGAATACTCTTATAAATGAGTCACAGAGAGAGAAAAGAAATAAAGTATGTAAGAAATATTTCCATTTGTAAGCTAGCACTTTAGGAGAAGTTTTAACTAGAAAAAAATAAGGAGACAGACCTGATGTATATTTTCAGGATTTTAGAGGTTAATTGGACAGATTCTTGATGATATCTATTTTCAATCGAAATGCTTTTAAAAATTTTAAGTAGAAATAATTGGATCTGTTCATCAATTGTGATGTTAGCTCCAGGAGCCTAGGGACTTGCCAGTTTTATTTGTCATTATATCCCTGGCACCTAGAATAGCAACTGACATATAATAGGTGCTCAACAAATACTTACTGCTACGTTATTCAATAATTCAGCAAATAATTGCTGAGTGCCTGCCACTATAGAGAGGCTGGGAATAGAAAAAAAGTAAGTTGAGAAAAACCAAAGACTTCGCTTTTATAGAGTTACTGTATTGCAGGGGAAACGCATAAAAGAATTTCACAATATAAATAGTTATCTACATGCTCCAAAGGAAAGAGTTACTTCGCCATGATTAGTACAAATTTTTGGCTCAAAATGCAGTGAAGAAGAAATAAATTCTCCTGAGAAAACTGAGAGGCCAAGGGGCAAGAGGGAAGGAAGATGTGTATGTGCACCCAGAAGGGAAGGAACTTTCCAGAGAGGCAGCAAACTGAGCTGAGGGAAAGACAAGTGAAGTACCAAGCAGAGTCTAGGGCAACACCCCCAGGTGGAGCGAGGGTGGAAGGAGTGAAGAGATGCCCTGGCAAGGCCTGCAGCATCAATGTCCAGAGTGGGAGAGGCTGGAGGGTGGGGGGAGGCAGAACACAGCTCCATTCAGATATACGGATGTTTCATGATCTAGAAAGATCCCACATCGAGTCTTTTTGAAAAGCTAATTTTATGATTTAGACAAAAAAACTTTTAATTGTTTTTATAATTGAGTTCTAGAAGACTAATGGGAGGATAAGTGCAAGGATACAATTGAACACTATTAATTGCAGAGCATGTTAAGGTGTCCAACTCCAACAGCCCTCTTGCCTTTGTAGAATGAGCCAACCACTTATAATATCTCTACTCCAAAACCCTCATTAGCCCTGCTTTGCCCACTGCCCTGTTCATAAGCTTGGCCACTTTCCTTTCTCCAGAATGATATCTCATTTCTCTTGTGGCCTTGCCGTCCACCTGTCTGAGTGACCTAGAGCCTCCTGGGCTAACTCCACTCTATTTTGGGGAGAGCAAGGGAGTATCTTTCTGATGGCAAGAAAGGAAGCTACATTTTTCCAATAGCAGGGAAGGAATTAATACTGACCTCCAGTATCTGGGCCTTTGCTTGGTTGAGGATGGCAGCTACAATCCAATCTGGGATCATGAAATTCCAGTTTCTTCTTTGGCTTTTTAAAAAAATTGTATGATATTTAAAGTTCACAACATTGTTTGTAAGGAAGAAAGATGCAACAATATATTGCAAAATAGTTACAAAAATATCTCCAGTACTTCCTGGTTAGATGCATCACAGATGAGGAGATCTGCCCATTAGCAAGATGAGGTTAAAGTTCAAGGAAATGAGCACATAGCTAGGATTTTTCTGTGTATACCGTGTGCATACGCATGTGTGCACACGCACATTTGACATCCTCAGAGCTGAGGATTCTGGACACTATTTTGGAAAACAAGAGCCACAAAAGAGACCGAAGCATATCATTCTAAAAGAGGAAAATATATTTATTTTTAAATGTCTATGGGATGGAAATCTTATGAATAGTACTGCTAAGTCAAGAAAAACCTCATATCTAATATTTAAATGCAAACCAGGCTTTCCATGTTAAACAAGCACCAGAAATAGAAGGAGTGAGAGTCTATGCAGTTGGCTTCTTCAGCATCTGAGCTCCCAGGCTTTGCAGGGAACAGTAGTAAACCATTCCCTTACAAATCTTAAATGAAGCGTAAATAAAACTCTGTGGATGCAATTATTCTCTTTACTATCCAAAGTACCAGCTGTGTAAGTTCAAGAGCCATTTGGAGCTCAGGCAACAGCTTGCCCGTCTGTCTCTTCTCTGTTTAGCTGTCATTCCCACCAAGTGCTGAAGGACATGCCCAAGATGCTAAACCCACTGCTCTGACTCTAAACTCCAGTTATTGAAACAATGTTTTCTAGGCAGTAGCCATTTTTGGTTGGACACACCAAACCTGATCATATTACTCTGACGTCTTCTGTGTGACAGAATTGTTTTATTAAAGTATCTAGAAAATAGGAAAAAGGCCATGAAAAATTAATAGCCTGCTTAACTCCTCCACCCCTACATTCTATACAGGATAGACTCATCAACAAGATCTATCCCATGGGATCATACAAACATAACTTAAGGCATGTTCTGAAAGTTTAGCATTTTTGTGAATTTTATTTGTCATCATTTTGCTTTGTCCTCCAATAGCTTGTTTTTAATTTTTCTGTAACTGGAAGTGGCTTCAAACTTGTCAGCTTCTCGAGAAATAGAGAAGAATGCAAGGCTGGGACCTTGGTGAGCACCATGTTTAATTCTGGAGGCTGCATCTTCAGAGGCACACTGACTACCTTGAGGGTGGCAGGCTGGCCAGGGCAGGAATTCACACCACACATGGGTAAAGAAACGAAGGTATCAAACCCACCCTTTTCTGAAGGGGGACATAATCCTGTTGCAATGTTGAGGACAGAAGGCGACTCCAGAGTTCTTCAGAAGAGAACCAAGGTGCAAGTTACAGTTGTAGTTTTCATATAGTAGTTCTTCAAATTTTCATTGGTAACACAATTCACTGTGTGCCATTTTAATCTCTAACAATTTAATTTTCAGTTACTAGTTTTTCCTGAGAAGCATGCCTGATCTCCGTCAAATATCTGATCACTTCAGGGTTAGACATAATGCCAATAACTTGGGCTCCTACTTTGTACTTATTCTGAGATGGAGCAGGAGGCAGGCAAAAAGACACAAAGGGATTAAGAAGTTGAAACAAGTGAGAGGAACAACAGGGCAGAGTGAATGTCAGTTAAGGTTTGTCCTTGAAGAACAAACCATGTCTACCTGTGGGTGTGCTGTGGAAAGTCTGAGGTGTGTGTGTTTACAATAAGGATCAGGATCTAATGGAAGGAACCTCCAATCTATTCTAAAATTCTCTCCTTAAAAGATGAAAGATATTGGGGCTATTAAATTTGGACAAATCCAAACAAGTACCACCTCGTTGTTTTGCTCATGGGGGTAGCTGGCATTGACCTTTGCCAGCTTCACAATACTCAATCTGTTTCTCCTGACCTTCCTATTAAATGACTGATATGGGGACTGGGGTTATAGCTTAGTGGTAGAGCGCTTGATGGCATGTGTGAGGCACTGGGTGCCGCAGTCTGGCTGGGCACACAATCACGAGCCACCACACAGCTTGTAGATTCAAACAGCAACTCTTTATTCCCGAACTCACACCAGCCGTCTACAATCACGTTCTGGGGAAATCCACGTTCTCTGCCCAAATCCACTCCCGCTGGGCTTCTGTCTCCCAAAAAATACTGTCTGAATCCCGTGAGAACTCAAGGGGAACTCAGGCAGCAGGATACGCCCTATTCCCAGCAGGAATAATCTTAAACCTGGAACGCCCTAAACCCGATTATCCTAAACCGGGAACACCCCTAATCCCGGATCCGCCCTGGTCCTTGAGCAAGGTCACCTAACTGCAATGTCACTGCAAAATGTCCTATTTCCACGAGTCCTTCCACTAAGCAACATGGGGTACGCTGGCAAGGAAATTGTCATACCTACTTGGCTAAAGGCTCCCAGCAACTGGGTTCCATCCTCAACACCACATAAAAATAAATAAATAAAATAAAGGTATTGTGTCCGTTTTTATAACTAAAAATATTTTTAAAAAAATAAATGGTATGTGTGGCAAGGTGCCACAACTGTCCTAAAATAAAACAATGTCATGAAATATCTAGTTTTCATACAGGCTTAAATACTATTTATTGCTTTGATACATGGGCACTACCAATTTAAAATAACAATTTTCCTCTAAGAGCTGAAATATCTAAATGCCATATGTCTTTTCAGGTAGCTGGAGGTATCTATTCTCTCTTCTTTGCTTTGGGAGAAATTAGAAGAGCACAGCCTCACCTTGTCTGAAAAATCCCTGAATTCAGGAAAGGGCCACATGAACCAAGGTCCAGCTTGGTTCACAAACCACTTTTCTACATGTGTGAAATTAAATAAGCAGGAGACCCTTAGCCCAAAGTTGTCTCTGTACAAAGGGAAACTTACAAGCATATTGTAAAGAGCAGAATCTCAGCCTATCACAGGCACGTGGATTTCAGCCTATCACCGTGCCCAAATACGGAAAATAACCAATGGCGCGGCTGTTCAGACAAGACAGAGGTTAGCAGAAGCCAATCAGGAGATTTCTCTATTTGGCTTCTGTGCCAGCCTATAAAAGTTTGCTGCACACAGTACTGGGTGGAGCTCTGAACTGTTGAGAGCCACAGCCGAAGGGGCCCCAGCAAACTTCCAGCTGCCAGCAAACTTCCAGCTGCCGGCTGATGATTGGCTCACAGCGGCCCCAGCAACATCTAGCTGATTGGCTCCTCTGCGTTGATGCTCATTGGGCTGTTTCCCTGCCCTTTCAGACCACGGAGCTGCTCATTGGGGGACTTTTTTGGCTCTGCCCACGTGACCCAGCCAATCGGCCTCAAGAGCAGGAGGATTGTGGGAGGTGGAGAGAAGCTTGTGTGGGAGAGAGAGGCTTGTGGAAAGCGGGTGGTGGCAGTTGAGGCTCTGAGGGTTTTTCCTGAGAGGCTGTTTTGTTTGGCGTGTGTGGTTCTAAAAATAAAGTCAGTTTCTTTTGACAAGTGGCTCCTGATTGTGCCCAGCCAGACTGCGGCATTTGGTGGCTCGCACAGGGAGCAACTGAGGGTAAGTGAACTGCTCTCCCCTGAGGGCAGGGCGAGAGGATGGGTAGCCATTTTAAGATTCTTCTTTTGTTATTTTGTTTCACTTTTGTTTTAAGTTGCCTGTCCCTGGAGATGTGTAAGATGGAAGAAAAACCGCTCACATCTGAGGAACAGATAGGGAGAAAGGACGGATGGACATTTCAGGAGGCTATTATAATGATTTTGTGTTGTTCCAATTTTGTTTCACTCAGTTTCAGTTTTGTTAGGCGTTATCTTGTTGGGTTGTATTATAGTAGAAATACGGGATCAGAAATTAGTAAAAAACAAACTGAAAGAGTGTTAAGTAAATTGTTAGAGGAAGGAGGCATCTCAGTAAAATCAAGAACAATCAGGGCATACGTTGATACAATACAAAAATGTAGCCCATGGCTTTTTAAGGAGGAGTTGTTAAATATATCACAATGGAACCATCATGGTGAAGATTTAAAAAGAATAGAAAAGAAAAGCCCAGGGACTCTGCCAGTTGGCACATTGCCATTGTGGACGTTCATATCTTGTTTGCTTAGTCCAAAGCCTTCAGTTCAGACAATGGTAGAGGAAGAAGAAGACATAATGATTCAAGTAAAAGAGAAGGTCTCTCAAGTTAGTCAGACAGAGGAAAAGATTCAAGTAAAAGAGAAGGCCTCTCAAGTTAGTCAGACAGAGAAAGAAAGTGTAAAACAGAAAAAGCCATCAGGGGGAAAGTTACAACAGGAGACTGCTACTAACACCTTTCTATCACCAGAGGACGTAAGTGTCCAACTAACAAGGCCACCTCCATATGCTGGGAGGTCCCCAACCCCCGCAGTTGATAGTTGGGATCCTGAGCCAAGATCTCAAATATTAACATGCCCTGTATTTGAGGCAGGAGGGCAGCGATTTTACCAAGTTTTAAATTTCAAAATAGTGAAGCAGCTAAAAGAGGCTGTAACAACCTATGGTCCTCAAGCACCCTTCACTGTAAGCATGGTCGAATCCATTAACAACTTGAACATGACGCCAGCAGATTGGGCTAATATGTGTAAAGCTGTGCTAAATGGAGGACAATACCTGTTATGGAAGGTTGCCAATGAGGAATTTTGCAAGGAGACGGCTAGGCGAAATGCAGCAGCTGGTTATCCTCAGAGAAATCTAGATATGTTGTTAGGAAAGGGACCTTATGAGGATCAGCAGCAACAAATTGCATATGATCCTGGCGTATACGCACAAATTGCTGCAGATGCAATTAAGGCATGGAAGACTTTACAAGGACATGGAGGCTTACAAGGTCAATTATCTAAGGTAATACAAGGAGCTAATGAACCTTATGCTGAATTTGTAGATAGGCTTATTCAAACAGCTACCAGAGTTTTTGGGAATACAGAACAAGCAATGCCATTACTAAAACACCTGGCTTATGAGCAAGCGAATCGTTGATGCAGAGATATCATTAGACCATGGAAACATGAAGATTTAAACACATATATTAAATTATGTAGAGACATTAATGAACAAGAGCAAGTCGTGGCAGCTGCAGTAAAACAGGCTTTAGATGCCAGAGACATTAATGAACAAGGGCAAATTGTGGCAGCTGCAGTAAAACAGGCTTTAGATGCCAGGCCAAGAACATGCTACAATTGTGAACAAACAGGACATTTTAAAAGGAATTGCCCCATTGGAGGAGGGTTTAACAAAACTAGGTATCAAAGGAGTAGAATACCAGGTATTTGCCCACGATGCCATAGAGGGAGACATTGGGCTAATGAATGCCGTTCTCAAACCACCATAGAGGGTACTCCATTATCAAAAAACGAACAAGGACCAGGTGTTTATCCACGATATCGTGGAGAAAGGC